GGGGGGGCCGCCGCCGCCCCAGCCAGGCTGGAGTGGTCTCCCACCTGCCCCCATTTAAGTGATTAATTGGTTAAAGAGAACATTAACTGGTTAACAGGCTTTTACATCCCTACTCAATATATTCCAGTGACACCACAAACAGAAAAACAACAACAAAGAGAGAGAGATTTTTGTTTCCTCTTTAGCCTTGTTTGTCAAGATTTGTGTCTTTTCCCCCTCAAGTGTTTGTTGCTTCTCTCTGCCCCCTTGTGTGCTTCAGGCAATCAGATCTGGCAGAAACAGCATTGCAGTGTCTGCTATGATCTCTCACCCAGACTGCCCTGCCAATGTTTCCCAGCTACCATACTGTGGAACAGCTTTCAGACTGGTTTTAAATTCATCTGCTCCCTTTCACAATCTGTTGTCAAGAGCTGGAAACTGAACAAGTACTACTTAGAAGAGGGAGAGGGGGAGGCAGTATCTCATAGGGTTCCATTATCCCCTGAAGGCTAAGTGAAAACCATCAAACACCAGACATAGTACTTTACAAAATCTTTTTGGAACATGAAAACTTTAGGTAAGTGTAGGGTGCATACTTCTGTAAGGGGTGGAGACTGGGTAGGGAGTCTAATTTCGCTAACCAGGAGATTCAGTAAAGTATAAGTCAGAAAAAAAGTTGTATACAGCACTAAATTTCCTTGTTAAATTTTGGGCTGATTAAATGTGCTGGACTGAGAAAACAAGACACAGGTTGTACGCTGATACCCAGAGCTGGCAGTGTAAGTGCATTGTTTGTGTAGGTAATTAGGGCTGTTTAGGGTTTGACTCCTGGTCACCAAGACAGGGTCCCATAAACCTCACATCTATTGAAGGTCATGGTGAAGCACTTGTCAGCCCTGGGATTATTTCCACGTACCTGTCGGTTCTGGTACATATCCTTCCCCATGAGGCAATCCTCTTTACTGACAAATGCCCCATCCCGGGTCTGGAGCTCTCGTTGGCAACAAGCTTCAGGTACCACATCATCTGAATGATGGTGCCGGAAATGAAGAGCTGTTTCAAAATCTTCCGGTCCATTCACTCCACAGCAGCTAAACTAGGGAGGGACACAGGAAGGACAGAAATCCATAGGTTCCATGTTGTCACTTCTGAAAGGAAGCCCCACAAATGCTTCCAAAGTCATGCTGTTGTGTGGCCTGGGGGAGGGAGGCTGGGGTTCAGTGAAGGGAGACTGAGAGCAATCTGGCTGTATCTGTGTTTTTATCTTGATACTTCTTGAGTCATCAGAGTCATCAAAGTACTTTATAAAATTTTCATTATGCCCACATGTGTAAAATGGGGATAGAGATTAAGGTATTGATCCAAAGCCCACTAGGAGTCTTGCTGTTCAGTGGGCTTTGGAGCATGTCCAAAGCAACATGCTCAAGATCTCAGAGTGAGTCAGTAGCGGAACATGAAATACAATCCAGGCTCCTATTTCCCAGTATTTCCTGTGGCTGGTGTAAGAATCAGCAGCATCTTGGACCATGCCAACTTTAATGTACTAGATGATTCACTGAAGGGCCAGTGCAAGTACTCAGGTGATGCATACTGCCTCAATCACCCTTCAGGCAGCAAAAAGTTTAAATGTTTCATGCATAAAATGTAAAATGCATTACATTATTAAGTCAGCATTAAGAGCAGTTCTTTTAAAACTGAATTAAAAGGTGTGGAGACCAATACAAGATATTACCTCACCCATCTTCTCACTCCAATATCCTGGGACCAATATGGCTACAACAACATTGTAAATCGGCCATTTTCTAGGGATCATTGAAAAACCATGAGCTAGTAACAACTTTTGGTCATAGTTGACTAGGGTGACTGGCTGTCCCAATTGTATAGAGAGTCACTATATTTGGGGATTTTTTGAATATAGGTACTCTTTCAGCCCCCCCTTGCTTTATTAAAATTGGCTTATGAATATGCATAATTCAAAGATGCTTTATGTATACATCATCTAACATATCAATTTTAAAGTTATAATCTGTGGAATCTGTATATCCTGTTTTTGTGCATGTATCATTCTTGTATGTAAAGTTAGAAATATGAAGTGTGAATCTGGTTTTCATTCTGAATGTGCTAATGAGCACCATTAGGGTTACTTCAGGAACATAATGGCTCAGTACTCAAACCAATTAACTGTGAATAGTCTTGTTTGTCCTGTAAGCCCAAACTATGTTTGGTCCCAGAAAGACATGTGACCATGCCACTTGGTACTGGAATCTATCTGGAACCTGGTATTTTTCATGGGGCTGGGGGGTGCTATACAAAGGGTTCCCACCCTGGATAAAAGCCTGTTTAAGGAATGGAAAGCAATCCAGTCTTCATCTTCAGCTAGTCTTCAAAACTGCCTCACCTATCTGAAGAAGTTACACATGAAGAGACCTGGTAACAAAGAACTTTTAAAGAATTCTGAAAAAAAGCTGTAGACCCAGGCTAGAATAGAGTAAAGATAAACTCTGACCTGAAACATTCCACATGAGATAAGATAATTGCTTAGGGTAAGAATTTGCATGTAACAAGTTTCTTAATGTATTAGAATTAGCTGGTGTTATTTATTTTAACTTAGTAACTTGTTTTTATTTGTTTTCACTTTCAACCACTTAAATCCTATGTTTTATATTTAATTAAAACACTTTTGTTTATTATCAAGCCCAGTGTAAATAACCACTTGCAACCACTGTGCATATCCCTCTTTTACTGATAAAGGGGGTAAACATCTTTATGACCTTTCTTTGTGTAAAACTTTTACACAGGTTAAGATAGATTTATTTGGGAGTTTTGGTCCTCCTTGGGGGCTGTGTTCCTGGCTACTGAAGTCTTATAGCTGAGCCCTCCCAGAAGTGAGCTCGTTCAGCTTGGGGGCTGTGTTCCTGGCTACTGAAGCCTTATAGCCGATCCCTCCCAGAAGTGAGCTCGTTCAGTATCTGTGTTGCTCTCTATGGGGAGTGGTTACCTCAACTCTGTGGCTTGGCTGGGGGAAACTGGAGCCTCTGGACCAGCAGGATAGGGTGGTGGGGACCCCAGATGGCAGGAAAGCGGGTATCAGCGGCTTCATCAGCACACTGTCTCCAAACCTGTACTCTCCCCCTTCTGCAGGCAACTCAATACTGCATCATTTTTAACAATGGTATGTTTCCGGTAGAATTTTAATTTAACTCCTAATTGAAAAATATAATCCAGTTTGGTTTATATGCAGCAATGTGTTCTTCACAGTAGGAAAACTTAGGTTCCAGCATTGAACCAATGCTTCCCTTTATATTAATGATCCAGGAGATCCAGAACCAAATCAGCTTACTGTGATCATAATTGAGTTCCAGGTGGAGGAGAAGACATCAGTCTCATTGTTCCCATGATAGTGTTTCTTTAACTCCTTGGTGAAGAATTCTCTGGTCAGCTGAAATACACAGAACACAGCACAGCACATATTATTGCTTGCATTGCCATTCAAAGCACACTTTGGTGAATGCTATTATTCATTACAAATCCCAATGTAGAAACAAGACTGTGTTCAGTTAGCACTTGACAGATTAAACTAAAATGATTTTACAAGCTGAGGGCTCCCAGCTTTGGTGCATGGACATTAGCTCTGCATCTTTTGAGGGTGAATAATGCATCTGCTGCCCAGTTAGAAACTAAGGGCCTAATGTGAGGTGGTAGAGCTTAGCACTTCCTTAAAAATACTGAACAATTACAATTCTGATTGGCTTCAATGGGAATTAAGAACCTAATGCAGTGCTCCATAAAGTAATCTGGATTCTTTCCATTGATTTGAGTAGTGTCTGGATCAGACCATAAAAAAAGTTCATGCTTTTTGTGGAAAGTCCATTACATGTACAGGGTTTAAATGACACTACGTGCATTTTGTGTGCACAGTTGTACATGTGGGTGGGGCTTTATGTCTGAAAATACTGATTGGCATGTAAGAATTTTGCTCCTCGTGCTCCCTATCTTTCATAGTGCATTCTTCTGCAGCTTTGGTTTTAAAACGAGTGCTTTTATAAAATGTAGAGGAAACAACTGACAACTACAAAATGCTGACTGCACCTTAGCATTATCCATGGTTAATGGCGCTTGTTTGCTAAAACCAGCTAGACTTGTTTAGAATTAAAAGTCAGAAACTGATTTATATATTTTAAGTTAACATTCTCTTATTTTTTAAATATATAGAGCTATTTAAAAGTGCTTCATATAACAAAAGGACTAAAAGGAATAGTAAAGACAGACCTGTGAAAGCCACATAAACATCATGGTTAAATCTACCAACACTTGGAAAATTCATATCTAAGGCATTATTCTCCTCTCATTTACATAAGTATAATGCTCCATTTATTTCATTGATACTACTACAGATTTGTTCCAGTGAATGAGATCGGAATTACACCCTAATATTGAGACCTCTGTATACAAAGAAATCTATGTAATCAAATGGAAAGGGTCACTATCAACTTAACCATTAGCTATTAAAAATATTTTATTTGTCTATTATACTTACAATGGCCTAAAAATAAATATTTTTAAAAAGCCACTTTACATTTCTACCATTTATGGGGTTTTTTGGTGTATGTTTCTTTGAACTTGAAAATCAATGAAATCAGGTTTATTTTTTATCGCAAAATAGAACATTTAAAATTATAATTTCCTTCAAGCTATCCATACAAAATAACTGAGTCCTTGAAACAATCAAATGTTTAATTATCAACACTTTTCTAATGAACAGGAAAAATAAAGTTTTAATAGTCTGGTTAAACTGAAAACTGAGGTAATTTTATAGAGTTGCTATCATTTCATAATGAAAACTGTAAGGGATCCTTTTTTGCTCCAGTAAGTCTTATTTTCTCTCTCTCAGAGCTCAGTCTTGCATTGTGATCCACATAGTTAAGACCTCTCTGTCAGCCCAGAGCGCCATTGGAATTAATAGGGTTCATATAGGTACAGCTGTCTAACCTCACCTCGTATACTACAAGAGCTTCAGGGGGTAGCCGAGTTAGTCTGTTACAGAAAAAAAAACCAGCAAGCAAATGGTCTGGTAGCACTTTATAGACTAACAAAACATGTAGATGGCATCATGAGCTTTCATGGGCACAGCCCACTTCTTCAGATGACCGGAGTTATGATTAGAGAAGGTCAGGATCAAAGACTGCAAACCCTTTTGGAAAGGGACCACTTTGTTTTGTGCACCATACAGTGTGAAACACATTGGGGATGTGAAACAAAATACTTATACATATACTAAATAAAAATAGCAAAAGTTTGTTTTCAGTTCTAAATGCTGTAACCTGTGGGTTCCAAATCATGTAGGCCCTGTGTGTATTTTTTTTTATATCAACTGTTTCCACTGGAACTTTATTACAAAACCAAAAGGAAACTTCAAGTGAAATTCTGACCCCATTGACGTCAGTAGGAGTTTTGTCACTGTCCTCAAAGTGGCTAGGATTTCACCCTTTTATTTTTGTTCCTTGAAAAGTTTTGTACAGACCTGTTCTAAAGATCCAAATTATGAATTAAAATGTAACTTGACGCTGAGTAACATTATCTAAAATGTAAGCGTCTAAGCCAGTGGTCTCCAACTTTTTTATGCCCAAGATCTATGAAAATAGGTCAATGGAGGGATGATAGGAGTTACTATAGAGAACTTTCTGGGTGTCTGGCTGATGAGTCTTGCCCACATGCTCAGGGTTTAGCTGATCGCCATATTTGGGGTCGGGAAGGAATTTTCCTCCAGGGTAGATTGGCAGAGGCCCTGGAGGTTTTTCGCCTTCCTCTGTAGCATGGGGTACAGATCACAGCTAGAGGATCTCTGCATCTTGGGGTCTTCAAAGTATTTGAAGGCTTCAATATCTGAGATATAGGTGAGAGGATTATTCTAGGAGGGGTGAGTGAGATTTTGTGGCCTGCACTGTGCAGGGGGTCAGACTAGATGATCATAATGGTCCCTTCTGACCCTGGAGTCTATGAGTCTATCTCTTTTTGAAGTTAAGGGTAACCCAAGATATACCCTGCTCCTTCCCTGAAGCCTCACCCTGCTCACTTCATTCTCCCCTCTTCTTCCTCACTCATGTTCACCAGGCAGAGGGTTGGGATGCAGGAGGGGGTGAAAGTTGCAGGGTCTGAGAGGGGGGTCAGGGCTGGGGCAGGTGCTTAGGGTGCAGGAGGGCATATGGGATACTGGCTCTGAAAGGCAGTTCAGATCTAGGGCAGAGGTTTTCTAGGTATAGGAAGAGGTATGAGATGCTGGCTCTGGGAGGGAGGTCAAGATGAGGTGCTTGGGGTACGAGGGGTTTCTGGATGCAGGAGGCGGTATGGTGTGCTAGCTATAGAAGGGGGGCAGGACTGGGGCAGGAGAGGGTGCTGGCTATGGAATGGGGCTCAGGACTGGAGCAGGGCTTGGGTGCAGGAGGGGACTATGGGTTGCTGGCTCTTGGAGTGGATCAGGCTGGACCAGAGGTTTGGGGTGCAAGAAGAGGTATGGGATGCTGGAGTGCGGCCTCCTGCCAGGTTGCACTTAGCAGGGGGAGCTCCAGGTCAGAGATGTAGTGAGGCTGAGACAGACTCCCTGCCTGCCCTGGCTCCACGCTGCTCCTGAAAGAGGCCAATGTGCACCTGCGGGCCTGGGGACGTGGGTTCTGTGTGTTGCCCCTCTCTGCCGGCATTGCCCCGTCAGCTCCCATGGCCACAGTTCCCTGTTCCCGGCCAATGGGAGCTACGGTGGGAAGGGCTTGCAGGCAGGAGCAATGGGCTGAAACTCCTGCCCTGTCGACCTTTCTCCTCACACGAGGGGCTATGCTGGCCACTCCCAGGAATGGGCCGGGGAGGTGGGGCCGGCGCATGCAGGGAGCCTGCTGATTGTAATCAACTGAGAGACTCTCGTGAGTGACTGGTTGGTGACCACCGATGTCGCTAAGTCCCGTTGACTTTCTGTGAAGTGCTGGCACCAAAAGATGGGCTTCCAAGAGGGTCTTTGCTGCTGAACTGTCACTTTCGGTAACAAAGCTCAATACTCAGGTTCTGTTGGCATTCACAAAACCCCTGCTCCTCTGCTGCTGCCTTTGTCCAATTCTATAAGCATCTCACTAAGCTTCTGCCATTAAAATTACAAGGTGCCTAAATGATGGCAGCAGTTTGTGTGCGTGGAGAGTCCGTTCTGATATCACCCAGGAGCTTGGTATCTAACTTATGCCTAAATGTCATTGTGATTCGCCAACTATGTGTTTCCTTGCCTGATTCACCTGTAGGGACTGACCTGGCAGGCATGTTTTCTGCATGCCTAAACCCTCATAAACTAATAAGGAGGAGGAGCAGCAAGTGTTGGTACCTCAGCCCTCTCCTACACTTTAGCCACGTGATTAGAACATGCCTCCAGGATGTGGGGAGCTCAGGTTCAAGTCTCCATTCCCTCTGCCTGATGTGGAGCAGGAATTTAAATATAGGTCTCCCCCAAACCTAGGAGTGCTCCCCTACCCACTGGCCTACAGGGTGGTCTGGGACAAGTCTTAGTGTCTCCCAATGAAGCTGTTCCACTGTGAATAAATCAGTATTCATTGGATCAGATAATGACACTGTAGCCCAGTCATTCTGGCTTCATCTAAGCGGTGTGAGGCCCAGCTTCCAGTCTCCCTGATGCAATTAATATGTAGTTGTTTGTACATACTTGATCAGCTTCAACAGGAAAAAAAAGAAGAGAGGTCTTAACATTGCTGCATCTAAGTCCCCTTGTGAATCTCATCCCTGGACTTAGGCTAAGACCCCTAAGTGCTTTTGCAAATCTGAATGCTACCAATCAGACAGAATATGGATTTTCCCTTGAGAAACCAGCACACTGGGGATTGCTGGGTCAGAAGGTGCAAAAACATATGCTCAGCATTCTGCTTGCCTTCCCTCCTTTTGCATAATTTACCCACCCAGTCGCTTATCCTATGGAGACAGCAGCACAGGCTTTTTATTGAGGCTTGTCTGTTTCTTAAGTGCAGACTTTGAAACTAATATTACAGTTGGTAATAATCCCAACTGGCTGCCTTTGGCTAGGTCTGAAACAAAAGAGTAATTTGAATATAAAGTGAAACCTTTATTTTGACAGGAGTGATCCCAGAGGAAATTGTTCCGAATTTGTGTGTGATTTTTATGAGGTTTGGTGTAAAACAAAGCCCATAGCTAAAATCGGGGCATGTTTTCCAGAAAAACAAACAATTCCCCTTGGTGGCTGTTAAACTGTAGTTTGGCCCAAACATCTTGTAGCCAGACAGACCCCACCCCCCATCCCATCCATCTTATTTGCCTCTCTGAGGTTCCTGAAGCATACAGGACAGAGAAGGAGCAATAAAATCAGCATAGTCTATGCTGGCTCATCTGATCCTGAGAAGCTAAAAACATAGATATGAGGAGAGAACGATTAAGGCA